TTTTTTAAGTTGCCCTCATGTTTCTTGTCAAAACGATATGTCACACGACATGCTTTCTCGAAAAGATGGCAAAAGCGCTAAAAGCCACACCCACCTGGGGGTGTGGTTTTGGTAGCATCGATACTATTTTTAAGTTGCCCACATGTTTCTGGCCAAAACGATATGTCACACGACATGCTTTCTCGACAAGATGGCAAAAGCGCTAAAAGCCACACCCACCTGGGGGTGTGGTTTGGGTAACATCGATACTGTTTTTAAGTTACCCTCATGTTTCTGGTCAAAACGATATGTCACACGACATGCTTTCTCGAAAAGATGGCAAAAGCGCTGATAACCACACCCCCTGTGGGTGGGGATTCAAGATTTTAACCTTGGTGTATTTTTTTGCGATATCAGGTGACCATTGGGGTCGCCATTCCGTTACAATAAATTATTTGTGTCGCGCAATGTACTTAAGTTGATTAACCACAAAAACGTTGATGGGCACACCCCCTGTGGGTGGGGATTGAAGATTTTAATGTGATAATGTAACCATTGTTGAGGGGGGTGACCTGATTGGATACTGATATTTCTAACGCTCCCAGGTGTTAAAACTCTAATAAATTAAACCTGATTCAATTTTCCCACGCCCCCTGCCACACCCACAATTTTTAGAATGACCGGAGGGTAATGTTTTGCCACTCCCCTGAGTTGCCTGACTTTTAAATTTCGAATCAAATTTGCGAATTTGCATTTTTAAGGACTTTGCAAATATTCTCATTTTTTGACCTTGTGACCTTGATTTCAGGTCACGTAGGTCAAATTTTAAAAATTTGAAATTATATATTGTAGGGAAGGGTCAGATGTTTCCAAAACATGTTTAATTTTGAAAATCCATGGAGAATTGCATGAATGGCTGACAATCAAAGTTCCAATGCTTATAAGCATTGCATCATGCGCCACATAACCTCGAACCAAGAAAATGCTGCGGTTTTGTTAGATTAACCATAGTCGTCTTAACTGAACCATGTCTGTATAGGCGAATCCACGTAATAAACTTCCAGTATACAAATGTCAACCTCTCTCTACCCTTCCTAATTGCAATCGGCACGAACTCAAGTGAAAAAAATATTCCGGAAATACACATCAAATAACCGAAATAGTTAAAGATATCAAACGTGTTTTCTTCAAGATTTAAGGCTTTTGGTAGACTAGATACCGTTTTATCAGCTGCATTTCGGCTGTTATAATTCGGACTATTGTCTCGATACCAAATCCACTTTTCCGGGATTCCGGATTGAAACAGTCCACCAATCCTACTAAGCAGCATTGGATTTGAAATATGACGTAGCTCTAATCCATAGGCCATCCGAGTTAAATATTCTGTACCCATCTGCCAAGCGATCTTAGGGAATCTGGACCTAGCCAAGGATAATAATCGCTCAAGATCATCCGACCAACCAAGAAAGGCACGACCTTTTATAGCTGACTCGGATAAGCTTGAAAGTTGCCAACGGGTATCCTCACCCATCCCAGGATAACCAAATTGCAGGTTTTTTGATAGATATGTATGTCTATCTTCGGTGATGAATGAGGAATAGAAACTTGTTTGGTAAGTGTTAAAATCCTGCAGGAGGAAATAAAATTCCGTTGAAGACTGTGGGAGGGGATAACTGATCTCAATAAAATCACTGAATGCCGTGCTATTTCTCTGAATTACATGTGCAAATGTTGCAATGGATACAGTCCTTAAAGGGTGCAAAGCATTTGTGACGTTATCCCCTCGAAATGCGTTCGTTATGATGAGATACATTAATATCCAAGGTCCCAATAAGAGGAACATGCAAACCCTTTTTGATCCATGGTCTAAAGCATTTGTTCCTTGTTCAAGTAATATTGAGAAGCCCATACACAAGTATTCCAAAACATTATGATATCTTGGTCCAATTACCGCAACGACGATAAGAGGAATAAATGTCGCCGTGACAAATATTCCTGTCCAAGTTAATATGTCGTAAACGTGAAGAATTGTGTCTATAGAAATCCTTCTATGAAGTCGATCAATGCTGGTGAAAAATGTGAACAATCGGAATCGCAAAGGAATCTTAATGTTTGACTCGCAGTTTAACACAATGGACGGAATTGTGCCCTCCATTCGATCACAGAAAGGAGATTTTGATTCCCTGCTGAATTTGCCAGAACAAGTTGTACGTGAAGCATAAAATGGTGGGATGAACCCCCTCATAAATATTTCTTGAGTGGCAGTTTTACTGTTATTCAGTTTGTCGAGCAACAAACTGACAAGGACTTTGGCAGCATCTAATCTACGAGTCTTAAATTCCCAAAATTTTGGAGCTTTAACGCTTTCAACGTCAGCCCACTTTTTCTCATTGAGAAAGAATATGTGAAAGGGAAATAGGTACGATATTGTATTCAAGTATGATGTGCGAGTCTCAATCTCAGAAAGGAACATTGGGTGGCTGGATCCTAGTCTTAATGAGCGGAAGTATAGCTGAGAAAATTTGCAGACGAAATTAATTTCCACAATACTAAACATTTCTGGATGCTCCAATCGAGTGGTAACTTTCCAATATAATATTTCAATCTTCTCATTAAACCGGATGATTGTATTCATGCCTAAGTTCCACTGTTGGAAAGAATAATCTTTCTCATGTACCAAAATGTGGTATTGGCTACGTGGATATGTGGAATCGTCGGTTACATGTCTTTTTGCCCAGACAAACTCTTCCTCAAACATAAAAGGTACTGAATTAAACCCCATTGATTGAGGGGGAAATATATAAATTCTTGTTAAACAGTTCCAACCACGCTGTTGAGATTTTGTTGAGAGCAGTGAATTCGATGGTATAAATGGTCTTTGCAAGCAGAAAACGTTTAACTGTTTCGATCCCTTATTCAGCGGAATAACTTCAGTCGTTGTTTGTCGAACTCTAGTACTCGAGTCAGTCCTGCAATATGGTAGAACTAGGACGCGAGAAGTTATATATGGGATTCGTATTACGCTTGGAATTTCAATATTTTCGTAATTGAGTAGATGAAGCACACAGCCAGTGAGTGGGTTTATGTAATCATTTAAATTTGTTATTTCAGAGGGATGTGGAAAGCAACTGCTGAGAATACTGGTTAAAAGTAGCACTGGACAAAGTAGTAGGTTGCCTCTGGTGTTTACCATTTTGTTTAGATTGTTAGATAGTAGAAGTTTTGCCCTAAAAGTATTCTCCCGTCCGATTATTTTTACCATGATTAAAAAAAAATATTATCACACGTTAACCTAGTGTACTAAAGAGATTACTGTTAAAGACTTTTTTGGTCGGTGTCTGGATATTGTGTTTGAAATTATTGATTCCTTCTCAATAACTTATGCACATATTTCATCCAGCAGCCACGAGTTTATCATTGGTATTATTCTTGAGTGCTGCATACAACATAGTCACGTAGTCACGTACTCAATTTAATAATAAATATATTTTTATTATGTAGAGTAGGTTTCAGGTCCCACGTATAATGTCTTGAAACCAGACACGAGCTCGATGAGTCCGACTTCCCGTCTAACATACTAGACATGCCCAATGACAAGCTTTTACTTAATTTGGTTGGTGACAAATAATTTGTAATTAGGGTAGTTTGTTTCAAGGATAGCGTTTTAAATTCCATAACTAAAACGAGTTTGTTGATTAAATCTATAGATACTATCTGTCCACGGCAAGTTGAACCCGGAGATATGGGAGACTAAACTCAGTTCAACGTTAATAAGCATGGGCCGGGATTTAGTCTTCCATATTTCCGGGTTCAACTTGCCGTGGACGGACTATATATACATATTTACATGTGTATGTATTATTTATGCGTCACTATGAGAGAAAGTTAATATTAGTATGGTGGAATCATTGTAGGTATTCCTATGAAAATAGTTGAGTCAGTTATTCGACTGGTGGATGCATATGTGTCCATCCTGCCAGAATGATTCTGATTGGGTATTTTTCACGCCGAGAAATTGGGTTTTGGTTCGGATGGATCAGACAAAGTATCCAGCCGAGTCAATTCTGTTGTATGTCTTACATACAGAATTATATGTGATAGAGTTTATTCGTTAAGAGTAGGAATTGTATTAGCAGAGTATGTATTGCACCGTAAAAATCTTAGGGACTGAGAAATACAAACTTTGGCTTCTTTTAACATTCACTGAGCTTATAGAGCGGGACATTTTACGTCCCACGGAGATTTTTACTCTGCAATACACCCGGTTTCCAACGGCACTATGTAAGTTCTCGCCCTAAAATTTTCGCCCGTAAGGTTTCCCCGTATGTAAATTCTCTCACCCACACAAATTCTCACCTATTAAAGTTTTTCTCAATTTTCAATTTTATGTGAAAGAGGGTTTTCCCTATCCTTAGCCCATTAAATGATAAAATCTCAAAGTGATTGCAAGCAGTCATCAATCACTTACTATTCAGATATGCATTATTATATTGTGACTTTTTTTAAATTTACAACATAAGCAAACTCAGCAAGGTGGATTTCTGGTAAGCCCCTTGTTCATACTTCCACCATTACATGTGAAATACTTAATGGATTAATTCCATACTTGGAATAATAATTTAGGATGATAACCTCGAGAAACATACCAAATATCAAAACATTGGAGATAACGTGAGCAGAAAAAATTTGCTTTTTGGACGCACCCTACCAATCTGAGCAAGTTTTTATTTCCTACGTCACTACCAGCACGAAATGCATATTTAACCTTACCACACCGCATGAAATCAACTTGCATTACTTTTGACCTTTTGGCTTAATTATCACTTAAATTGTTCCAATCAAAGTTCTCATGTCATATGCCTTGCGTAAAACATAACCATGTCACTTGAAACAAATTGTTGATTAAGTGTAAATTGATTGGTAATCTTTCTCATGTAACCGAATGTTATTGATAACATATTTATCAAAATTTAATATTAATCGTAATAAATGGTAACAGGAAGTGGAACGAAAATTACAAATACTTAATATGCATCTGTTTATTAAGGTTTGCCAGTTTGTTACCATAAGTGCATATGCATGTACTTATTTATTCATACTCAAAGTCGAATCCAGACCCGGTGGTGGAGCCATCAGTACCAAAGCTTATCAAACCAAGGCCTTCGGTCAAGGTTAGGCTTGGAGGAATAGTTGTCCCGCAAAACCTGGAAGTAATACTTTTATAAATATTTGTTCAAACAATAACTGGTATCGATCCAACAAGTTAGGGTCAATATAATCATCAACGTTATCAATCAAAAGTACCAGGGTAGACAACTGGTATTAGACATTACTGACCGGAGTATATATGTATCTATACATGTGACTCTACTGGCAACGGCGGGTGTTACACCGTAGTGATGTGGTGATAATCTTACATTTACGTAAAATCAAACGACAGATTACCAATCTGTATTACCAATCTGGTAGGGAACTACTTATTACCAAATCAATACCAGTATGGAATATATTTATGACTCCATCCGATGCTTTACAGTTTAATAATTAGCTAACCTTTTTAACTCCAGCCTACTAGCTACAAATGTATATCCGACTTACCTCGCTACCTCTGTGAACTGATTGTTAAACCATGTGTACGTCTGGAGACTGTCATAATTACAGGATCCATTATACTCGAGATCCACCCTCGTGAATCGTAGCGTTGGTTGGGACGGAACTGAAGAGCTGATTGTGAACCAGACGACCTCATTGTTACCGTACTGCCCCCCACCAACCGGGTAGCTTAGATTTCCTTTCCCTGTGGTCAAACTTGACTGGCCCGTGAGTCTCTGAAAAATGTCGTCATACCCACTGGAGAAAAACTGGAGACTGAATCCGAAGGTCGGGGCGTGTCCGACGTTCAACGTGATGAAGACATGTTTCGATATAAAGGTGTAATTCTGGCCAATGGTGGTTCTTAAGAAGAAGTATAATTATATGGATTAATGTAGGGATGGACCGGGGAGTGGTCATACTCGATACCCGGCATTAAATGGTTAGCCGGATACTCAAACAGGTATTTAAATTTTAACAATAAGGAACATTTTTCCATTTTTTTCTGACGTTTTAAAAAAGCTTTTAAAAAATTGCAAGTTTTAAAAACTGAATGTACATAGATAAAAACATTACCAATGGTATAAGAAGTAGTTTTAAAGTTTTACGATTATTTACGCATTTAATGTCCCCCATTCCATCCGAACATAAACAAAACAAAAAATAAAAACCAAACATTGCAAAATTTTATCAACCAGGGCTCGGCCTATCGTTTATTTTGGATATTTGGAGATTGGAGGCCGAAATTTTTTTATGGACATGGATATCCGGATATTGGATTGCGAGTTAAGGGCTCGGATATGGATATTAGCCGGGTTATTTGAAGGTTTTCACCCGATATCCGCCGACCTCTGCCGCAGATTATATGTACGTGTTACAAAATATTTGGAAGGGATAAGCCTGGCACACCCATTAATAATAGATAAATATGCACATAGATTGTTCTAATTCGTGTTCCAAATTTGAGCGATGAAGCCAACAATTTTATAAGACTTACACCCTCTGTTGACGTCCTGGACCTGCGTGTAGATGCCCAAATTCGGTCAAGTACAAGCCATCCGTTTCCTTCAAGCCGGACGAGACGAGAACAAACCTCAGATCGTGTGCGGGTGCCTTTAACGTCCAAATGCAGCGCATATCGGCTCGAATTGACCCACCGACTTGGAAGTTGATCGTGCCCGAGGAAGCCTCAATGTAACCGCCACGTATTATATTAAAAATAAGGTCCGTTCAACGATAAATACATATGGGTATACGGGCTGAGTTTGGGAACCCGATGTATCCACGGCGTGAAAAGAGTGCGTTAATCAATGGGTTGAAATGTGAAGAATTTTTGGTATTAAAAGGAGCAACACAAACTCCTACATAAATAAAATGCTATCCCCTCGAAAGGTTAATGTGCTCTAAGAATTAATTTCACATGTAAATATGTACTGTAATATGTTCATACTTGTCTCAACTGGAACAGGATCCTCCGGTCGGTTGTTCTGGAAGGGGTTTGGAGCACCTTCATAAAAAATTGTGTAAATGCAGATTTAACGTCAATTTACTTAAAAATAGTTAGTTTTAAAGGTTATGTACAAGATTTTTGTAGTACACAAATTAATTAACAATTAAACCGTGTCAAGGGACCAAAAAAAGTGATTGAAAATAAAACCAGAAATCTCAATATATTACATTTTTAAGGGTTTACCCCGCTCAAAGGTTGGCTAGGATACTGACGCCAGGATGAAATTCCCGTTAAAATTACACCTCATATTAAAATTAAGGTTAAATTTAATTTTCGACCATATTCAACCCCAGGCGTCGTGGGACGTGGTCTCATTACCTTATTCAATCGAGAACTGGAAATTGTCAATGAATTGAAATTGTGCACTGAAAATTTTGGGGGCCCCCAAAAAATTACTTAATTTTTCCGAAGTATACCACTAAATGTTGTTTCTAAAGATCTCGATCAAATTGAAATGGTCAAGTAATAATTTGGGCTGAATATGTTTTGCGTTCCCGTTCTTAATACAAAGAATCATACCTCTTGCGGAGACTGCCAGTAAGACCAGGAAGAAACCTACACTTGGAAACATATCGGATTGAGTACAACTCATTACTTGAGGTCTAACGTGGTAAATCTGCTTAAATTTATACCCATTTCCAACAGACGTACCTGTGGCGTGGCGTGACAGGGCGTGATTGATTTTCACTGTTAAATAGCAATCATTTAATTGAAGATTTGCGTAATTATTTAGGTCGTCATGTGCAGGAACTGTGCAACGCATTTATGTACATATGTAAATATGTACAAGGCTTCGTTGATGAGATCGACGGAATGTACCTGTTACTGAGATAATTATTTATCACAATCAGGTGACGGAGTTGCAAGCCTTGATTATCCAATTGTAACTGAAGCTTAAAATTTGTCGGTTAATGGGCAGAATTGTAACTTAACAGAGCATAATAAATGAGGGAAGTTATGTGCCAATTTTTTTTATAATACTTTCCTCATTGTGTGAAGAATATGTAAGTATGTCCAAATTTAATCATAATTTACTGTTGCAGGTATAAAGATGGAATTGTACAGATATGTATGTAAGACAAGGCAAACGCGACGTGGCTGGATCAGATATATGATTAAAGAAAAGATATTTTTCAAAATCTGATAAACTGATCGGACCGGGTTTGTGAAAACGTCGATCAGACCACAATCTCTCATAGTGCGAACTAGCGGGTCCAAAATCGGAAGATTTTTAAAAACCGGTTTTTCGATTTGTTATTTAGACTTTTCAAGTATTGGTAACACCGGTTTTCGATTAATCGGATTTTGGAAAATCGTCATAAACCGGTTTTCGAAAAACAAGTTTTTAAAATAAGTTTTAGTTCAAATTTAAAAAAAAGTTTAAAAATATAATAAGCAAAAAATGTATGCGAATTAAAATTAAACGTAAGCCTGAGAAGAAGATATATATTACAGAACAATCTTATCTCAACAATGAGAAACATTAAATATTAGCTCCAAAAATGTTTGTTTTCTTAAGAACTGAAAACCGTCTTTGAAAATTGTGAACTTTTTTTTTTATAAAATCGTGTTTTGAAAAATTGCAGAACCGGTTTTCGGTTAAATCGAAAACCGGGTTTTAAATTATGAAATTTTAAACTTTGTCCTAGAGATGCGAAATTTGGCATGCACATGCACCAACATATGCTGCAGCAGAGTATAACATCAATTCCCGTTCCGTTCGCTATAAATTTTCAGGAAAAATCAAATGTCACCCCTATTCCGTTTGGTTTTTGATTTTTCCTGAAAATTTTATAGCGATCGGAATGGGAATTGATGTTATACGCTGCTGCAGCATATGTTGGTGCATGTGCATGCCAAATTTCGCATCTCTAGGACAAAGTTTAAAATTTCACATGACTCCGTTCAAAAGTAGGCGAGAGTGCGTGCACGATCAAAACAAGTGTGTGCAGAGCAAACAGGTATGTAGGCACTGCCTTTTTGCCTGCCTCTTTGCCTTTTTGCCCCACAAAAATCTGTGTCTTTTTGCCTTTTGGCTAATTTGGGGCGAGATGAGACGAAAACCCCGTGATAAAATTAAAGTGAAGGTTATTCATTGCGTTCTTTCTACTTTTCGCCAATATAAGCTTTAGAGTCAAAATTTGATTAACTAAGCTGATGGCGACGTAGAAACAACGCTGAAGATATCTCGGGAAAAGTATTTAACTAATTTGAAGTATTGATGAAAGTCAGAGCCCTCCAATACAATTTTAAAAACATATTGCAGATTCTGCAATTTCATTAATACGTTATAAACGACAATAAATCGGATTCAATCGTCAAAACTCGAGCAAAAAGGCATCAAACAGGCAAAGGGGCATTGAAAAGGGGAAAAAGGCATGCAGAAAAAGCAAAAAGGCTGCCTTTTTGCACACACTGATCAAAACCCATCAAAACATGACTTTTTAGAGGAAACAGAACGGAGCCCAGCTTAAGTAATAAAGGCATCTCCGATTCCGTCATTTCAGATTAATTACTGTGAATGAAAGGATTTCTCACTAAATTCATTTTTTAGCCTATGCTTAATACATGGGACGAAGTAAGAAATAAAGCCAGCTGAAGTGAAATGAATTTGATCGAAAATTACAAAATGTGAATGGGAATCTTCAGTCAGAAATCAGAATGACTCACTTTTGAATGAAAATTAAATTTCTGAACAGGTATGGAAAACTGGCCTGATTTATATTGGTATTCTGTGTGAGAAATCAAAATTGTGCTAATTATGTTTAAATTGCTTATGTGATTTTTAATTTTTGACTTGATGTTTCGGTATAACTCGCTACAAAATCCCAATTTAGCTTGAATGGCTTCATTTAAATTTAGTCAAACCATCCAGTAATAAAATACACAATGTTGCAAATATGCATATTCGTAATAAAACAAAATTCACCACTTCAAATAATCTTCAAATAATATGTAAATGCCAGTTTAATTAATTGATTCCAAGTGTTAGCGTGTTTACATGCATACATACATACCAATTGGCTGAATTAATTAATTACATAATTATTTAAACATGTCATTAACCAGCTTAACAGCTTCAACCGGATCAAAGCCTTGCTGTTTTAGGAAATCGGATAAATCTTTCCATAACGGGAGGGGAGAGTTAAAATAGTCAAACATGAAGTTAAACATGAAAGAAATCCTTTTCTCAAAATTCAATTCCGGAATTCGATACGGTTCTTTTAACGATTTATCTTGGATGAATTTTAACACGTCGAAACGTGACTCAAGCAAACAATTTTTATAGTAGCATTGCATATCATCCGTTAAGCCGTCCATTGGTGTTCCACAAACCGTAGTTTCAGCAATAAATTTAAGCTTGTGATCTAGAAAAAGTTTACGATTATCCTGAATCCATTTGTTCCTGACTTTCTCTTCATTGGCGTGTGTGACGACCTGTGCAAATTTTTAAAATGAGGTTATCAATTTTTGAGATTTTTTTAAGCCTAGTATTCAGGTGAAAATCGAAATCCGTGAAAATTTCATTCATTTTTTGCAATACAACTAATACTCGGGTGACGTGTGAAAATTTTGCTCGAGTTCGAGTAGAAATAGTGGAAAAGCTGAAATTTGGGTAATTTATTTACGAAAAATACCCAAGTACCTGCGTTACAAATTTGGCGGCTTACTTATGTCAGATTGGAGCATCACGATACTTTTATTCATATATCATCACCTGAGTACCCTATATTGCTTTAAGAAATAAAAGTGAAATTTTGTAAAATTTTTGTAAGGGTGAAATTTTTCTTTTTAAACTTTTGTAAGAGTACAAATTTTTCAGGGTTATTTAACCGCGGTGAAAAAAACGAGATGAGTACGTTACTTATCTAAAACTTACCAAAACGACTGGAACTTTAAAGTCTGTCATAATTTCCACGATCAATTTATAATTGGATTTGAGTATGTCGTTTATTCTCCCCTTTTTCATGACCAGAATTATAAGATTGATCCCGCTACTCTTTTTTAGCTTTGTCATCAACTTGAGAAGCTCTGATATGGCTTTCTTTTTGTTGACCGTGCCGCCATCTGGTTCACCCAGACCGATTGTATCGTAGATATTGAAATTCAGAAAGGGAAATTTCTGATGTTCAAATGTTACACCGGCAGCTTGATCAGATACTTTGGCGATGTTCGCGTTCATGATCATGTTGATTAGAGAGCTTTTTCCAACTCCTGAAAATGTTAAATTTAGGTGAGATTGAGTTCATTTTTATTTGTAATTTATTTACATTTTGAGTTGAAAATTTAGTCTTTGTAAAAAATTTCACAGATTTATACATATGTAAATAGGCAATTTATGCCAGGTTAACTTACCCGTTTCTCCGAAGACGATCACGTTTTTTTCTTTATCGTCTTTAATCATGGTGGATAATAAAGTTTCCGTTTTTTTCTGGTTAAATTTTGCGACATGTAAAAATTTGTATGTAACAATGATGATATAGATAATTTTTTTAAATTATGCAATTTCAATTCACTTCAAATCCGGTTGATTTGCAGACATATTTTTCAGGAGGCGGAGGAGGTGGTTTAACATTTACCACGGGTGGTGGATCGTTTTTGGGTGGTGCATAAATGACTGCTAAAATCGCCACGGCTATGACGGACACTAAAAAATAGAACCAATTAATTTGCACACTAATTGTAACGAAATTAGTAACGTTGTTTTTTAATTATTGATTCTTACCAGTTGCGAATGTTAGTAAATTGGCAAGAAGTTGGCACATGGTGTTATGCAGTATTTAGTTCGTGTTACATACGTATGAAACTGTAGCAAGGGAAAGGGACAATGTTTTAATGATTCATTTGCATAAATAACACTGTGCTCAAAGTGATTATCATGTTAAATTAAATTGTATGCATGTAAGCTAGTCAAGTCTGGTTATCTCCAATGGATTTGATTGCACCAGGTATGTAAATGGGTTAAATAAGTATTGCAAAATCATTGTGCAAAAAAGGGAATTTTAAAAGCGTATAGATAAGGCGTATGTATGTAACAACCCGTCAAAGGAAGTAATCCATGTTTTGTGAAGCTTTTTATCTGTGTGATTCGGTTTACTACAGTTGGGGAACGTCCATATATTACGTCATTAAAAAGATGGGTAGGCGCCTACCTTACTTGTGTATTTATGTAAAGTATTGTAAGTATACCTGAGCACACTAAAAATTCGAGGTAACCCTTCTTTGTGTAAAAATGACTCCAACACTGTACAATGTAAACCGTGTCCCACCGGGAGTAAAGTCGTTAATGCGATGTGGTGTTAATCCACGAGTAACCGGGTGCCGAATAAATTTCGACTGGTTTACTCGTCCCCGTGTTAATGTTACCCATGCACGAGTTATGACACTGTGATTTACTCTTTATGGAGTAAAAAGGATGCTTCCTTTTTACTCCATCTATCACGAACGAGCACGAAGCTTTGTCAGTCCACCACTCTGAAAGATATTTTTTTTTACTTTACCTGACTGTCAGAAATTTAATAATTTTGCTTTACTAATATAAACAATTAGTAATAGATATTTCTAACTAATAATAATTAGTTAACATAATCCCATCTATACTCTCTGGTACACAAACTACTAGTGATGTGTATTTACTTGTGTTGAAATAAGACGGCTGTTGGAGCAATGTGATTTGAGTGATTACTTCCATAAGTTTCAAGGTCAGTTTTTATTATAATTTTTTGGGGACTTGAAATCATTCGTACTAAATATGTATTTAACGCTGTTTTATTTTTAGATAAAGTCATCTGTGATGACCCCTTGTCGACATTGAAAGAGATCGACCTGGTTGAACTTGTACAGGGCATTGGACATCATCTGAACTTTGAACAGCCATTAATTCGGACAACTATATTTCTACTTTTTGATTTTACATAGTTATAGATAGATACATAATTAAGTAAAAAGCATAGAAATAACTTTAAATTGTTACCCACAATTTTGTTACACCTGATTAAATACGAAGTTTTTAATTGAATATAATATTAATTGTTCGTTAATACAGGCATTACATGGATAACTCATAACCAGTAAAAACAACCCTGTAACCAGTAAAGTGGTAGCTCGGTACTGAGTTAACGGTAACCCCTTTACGAGTTATACGCTAACCCTGTGCGGCGCTAGCCACCAACTCGTTCAGGGTAAAGTCGGTTACCCTTTGGCAAATTCGCTCGGTTTACTCTGCACAGCGTGGAATCACTTTCAAGTCCACACAATATTATATTTTACTCTGCACGGACTTAAAATTTTTTACTGTGAGTAGAATTCGGAATGGGTGAGTGGACAGTCTAAAAACAGTTTTTTCAATCTTGGCGTAATATACGAATGTTCCCTCGGATAGGTTTTTGGAGACCGACAACGGTTCCAAAGCCGACTTAAAACTACAAGAAGCATGATTATATACACTCTTAAAAATAATGTTACCCTTTGGAAATTAAATACGTACACACTGATTTTTATACGAAGTAAACTACTTTACTAAATAAATTCAAGGGTTAACTTAGTAAAGAGACAAACCTTACTCTGGATTTGGTATAGTTTACTTAATTTAGAATTCAGATTTCATTTACTTTTCAAAAGGGTAGCATTATTTTTAAGAGTGTACATTCAAACGTCGGGAACTAAGGTTTATGTGTAGATATACTCATGAGTAAATATTGCGGGGCACAATTGACGAATCCAGCTTGTTTAAACAAGATTAGATATTTTTACATGTTACTGCTTCATCTCCTCAAACATAAATATGTATGTATTTATTCCCAACGACGAAGAAATTTGACCTGAATACGTTGCGTTTTTTGAACTATTTATCTGACAACTATTTAACTCTCCTCAGTTTACCATTTTTATAAAAATATTATCTTTTAAAACATCTAATATTTCGTGACCATGGACATATATCATGTTATATTAGTTTCAATTTTATCATTATATGTGAGCATTTATCCTCCTTTTTTTCTACGGAATGAGAAAACTAGTGACCCTGTTCCAAGAAGCGTAAGTACATGTGTTTATTGTATTTAGTTTTTTATTATTATTTTACCATATCTGGAAATAATTCGATATATGTAAATGTACATGATAATAGAAACGTAGCAATCCTGATATTGGGCGGAGTGGAGCACACACAAAGAACATCGTTCTACTCGGAGAAAATGGTTTGGGTTTTATTTGAACATTTTATTAATGATTAAAAAAGCAATTAACGTATAACTCCTCGATGACTCATCGCATAAATGGTCAAAATAATCGTACTTTTAATGATTTCTCTTCTCTGGGAATTTATTTAAAAATTATGAGCGAATGATTTGCGGAACAGGTCATTGCCAATTTTTTTTAATATTGGCTCAAGATTTTGGCAGTTTTTGAAGCAGAATATATCAAGTTTAAGAAACCTAAAAAAAATCTTAACTTATTAAAATTAGATTATCTTAATTAAAAATACTCAGCGCCATTCCACTAATCGACTTCTTGGCTACAAGTTGGTTAGTGGTTCAAAATTTTATAATCAATTCCAAGAACGGGGAAATAATTAAAAATGTAGGAATTTTGACGACCTTGATGATGAGTCATCGACTCCTACGTTAAATTATTATTACGTAACTGAATAATTACAGGTGTGGGTAAAAGTGCCGTGGCAAATATGATAATTGGCGAAAATATCATACCTGTTCCAAATCCTGAAATTTTCCAATCGTCAGAAATCCTCTCTTATTCGAAGCACGAGTCAGAGTTGTACACATTTTACGAGATGCTTGGAATGAGTGGGAAACGGTTTAATGAGGACGAGATGAAAGAAGCCATGAGAAATTTGAAGGAAATTGTGACACTTTTGGAGAACGGGGACGGGATTCATTTAATCATTTGTGTGATGAGTTTGGAACGGATTACGGATAATTTTGTGAAAAATTATCAACTCTTCGTGGAGCAACTGATGGGGAAGAGTGTTCCTGTGATTTTGGTATATTTTTGCGTAATATTTGGACTTATTAACAATCGTTGTTTGGGCATAACGCATTTTCTTGATTTTGCAAGCGTGTTTTTTCTCTAATTTGTTCTGATGTTCACTCTAAATAATTTGAAGACAAATTATCACCCACAGAGTGCTATTTTTGGGTAATGATTAAAGAGATAGTTTGTCACCAAGGGGAAATAGGTAATAAAATTCGGCTACCAAATACACGTGACGTTGTCAATTAAAAAAAATGAAAATTTTTATTACTTAAATATAAGATTTTGTTTACATGAAAGTTCATCTTTTAATAACGACGTCACGTCTGTTTGATGGTCGCGTTTTTGTTACTTGTTTCTCTAATACGACAAAACCTCACCTTAATCATTACGGAAAAATATGTACAGCATTATAATGCCTACGCGGGTGGCACCCTGAACTCGACTTAATGCCATGAATTTTACAAGTTTCGTATTTTACTAGGTTTTAACTGGTGCGGATAAATCTCATGATGCTGCCCTCTGGTGGGAACAAAATCAGAATGCATTCACTCAACAGAACCTTCAGTTTAACGACCATGCCATAATTTGTGCCGTTCCCGCAGACGACGATATTCATCCATTATTTGTGGATCGAATGACAGAAATGTACACAGCGTCGAAAATAAAATTGTTACAAATTGTAGAGAAGAATTTACGTCTGGAGGCGTGGATCCTGACGCATAAAACTGAATCAGACGCTAATACCTTCCTTTGTGACAGGATTAATTGGTTATACTCTAATCTAGAGTATGATGGGAGTCCATACAAGATTAAGCAATTTATTAGAGAAATTTGTGGAGTGGATTTAGGTAGAAATTTTATACAAATTGGAGCCTCTACGGCAAAGCAGATTTTTTATCTTTTTTATGAATTTATGAGACTAATCGGTGGGAATTTTGTTCAATAAATTAGCATATTTACGTATTACAATTTGTTTTGTACCTATATAAATGATATTTACGCATTTTCGTGACCTCGTGACCTCGAAGCACTTCCTCAAATTAACATACCACTTTGGAATAAATCAAGATCCATCACTTTCAACAAATACCATGTACAAATTTAATTAAATGATTGCGTACATACATATTATCGTACAAATTGGAGTGATTAATTAATTAATGAAACATTGCATTAACCCGTCTAATAGCTTCAAGCGGATCAAAACCGTGCTCTTGTAGGAAATCTGATAGCTCTGTCCATAACGGGATAGGAAATCCAAAATAGTCCAACACAAAGTTAAACATGGCGCAAATTAGTTTCAAAAAATTCAATTCTGGAATTCGGTACGGTTGTTTTAACGACTTATCCTGGATAAGTCGCAACACGTCGAACCGTGACTCAAGCAAACAATTTTTAAAGTAGCATTGCATTTCGTCTGATAAGCCGTGTATTGGCGTCCCACAAACCGTAGTTTCAGCGACAAAGATAAGATTATTTGCACGGAAATATTGTTGGTTATTTTGGATCCATTTATTCCTGACTTTCTCATCCTTTGCGTGAGTAACAACCTGTGCAAAAAATGAGTTTATTATCATTTAAGAATTTTTTTTCTTAAAATCTAGCACTCACAATTAAATGGTTTTCCTCGATTTTAGCCGAACTAATTATAAATCGTGAACACAAAGATTACTGGTCTAGTTGGTGGACAAATACAAAAGCAAAGCCATATTTTTTTGGTTTTCTACAATCCGAGTGTAAGTATGGATTTGTTAAAACGTTGTTGCTTTAATTATTAAGCTATTTATTTTTATTTCCGTAAATTTCATCTGCTTTCAAAAACCAAATTTTTTACTCAAAATCATATTGAGTAATTCAAAACAACGTTTCAAAAACTTTAAAATGATTTTTTTTGTACATTTCAGAATAGCTTTCACGCTTCGTTAACCGCAGGGTAAAAAATGTGCTGAATATACAGACTGTAATACGTTCTTTTAAAACTTACCAAAACGACGGGAACTTTAAAGTCTGTCATAATTTCCACAATCAATTTATAATTGGATTTGAGTATGTCGTTTATTCTCCCCTTTTTCATGACCAGAATTATAAGATTGATCCCGCTACTCTTTTTTAGCTTTGTCATCAACTTGAGAAGCTCTGATATGGCTTTCTTTTTGTTGACCGTGCCGCCATCTGGTTCACCCAGACCGATTGTATCGTAGATATTCAAATTCAGAAAGGAATATTTCTGGTATTCAAATGTTACACCGACAGCTCGATCGGATACCTGGGCGACGTTCGCGTTCATGATCATGTTGATTAAGGAACTTTTTCCAACCCCTGCGAATATACAATTTGGTTTAGATTGAGTTCATTTTTACTTCCATAAGCACTCCTAAAAATAATGTTGGTCGAAAAGTAATGTTTCGAAAAGTACTTGAATGCGCTGTCCATTTTATATTAACCTTAAGTAAACTGTACTAACAATGGAACCTTTTTTAAAGCTACACCAGGATTTTGTAGCGAGTTATACAGGAAATATAAAAATCAAGCCAAAAATTCCGAATCACGTGACACCTATCTTTCCATTGAATGACCTCTTAGAAGAACAATATTAGCGGCAAAGTTCAACTTTTGATTTCATTTTTTTCCCTTTTTCCTCGATGGGTCGAAACCATAGTGGACTTGGAAACTTTGCCCATAAATATTTTCCTTCAAGGGCAATTCAACCGAAAGATAAGTGTCACATAATTTTTGGCTTGATTTTATGATATACAGTATGTAACTTATTTAATGCTACGATTTTTAATTTCAAATTCAACTTCAATTTTCCCAAGAACAGGTAGATATTTCAAAATTGTTTTCATACCAATTGTTCACCATATATTGGACTACATTGAGGCCAATTTTAAGAGGAATGAAGATGAAACTGTTGAATCCACCAATATTTTAATGTCAAAATATTGCAAATTGCACGTTACATAATTAATGCTACGGGGGTAGGAGCGGTTCAATATATCGTTAGACCCCAATAACTGATTGAAATCGTTTGGGCATCTAATCCACCAACCTTTCGGTTATGGTATGGTCGATGTTTATTTATTTTCTGTTATCAAGGTGTGTCGGGGAGCCGTGCTTATCGGTTTTGGTGTTGTCACCAAACGCCGCAGGGTTTTTGGGTTATGCTCGATCGAGTTGAAGTCAAGAAATTTTAGTGTCCAGTCCAAAACCTTTGTATTATTATCCTTGAGGCATTTAAGATGATGTTTGTAATATTTGTCAAATATCCGGCAATTGTTGAAAATAAATCTCTGACCAAAGTCTTTCTTTGTTGTGAATTGGCCAAGACTTATTTCTAACAAAGCAAGGTAAACCTCTTTGGTCATGATCCCATCGACGCACGTCAGTGCTACCACCCTGTGGCAACATATACTGCCCAAAAACCTTACCTCCCTGCAAGATTTCGAAAGTTTCACACCAGGGTTTAGCGGTTCACACAGCTTAGATTTCCTTATCTCTGCTATGTTCGATAATTTGTCTCAGAAATTAATTCCTTGAAACTTCTTTGGGCTCCTTAGACACTCTTACCGTTCCATCTGAGCTAAAAAGTTGAATTATGGTCTAATCTGGGAACAGAAATTTTTTCCGGTAAACATGGGATCATCTTCGCTTTGCATTGCCCACCCCAAGTGTTTCTTGTGGTTGCTCCATAAGATGCATGGTGTAGAATTTGGAATTTCCCCGGATATTCTTGCGAATATCAGCCACCGTCTATTCATTCATAGGTGTAGAGCAGTAAAGCGGTCACTTTGAACATCTTTCGCAATTTCTGGTGCGGACAGACAAGCATTATTGTCACTGTTTTTACAATCGTCGCGTCCGCGTGTGGTGTTTTACTGGGTTTTCGACCCTGACGATGACAATTCGTTATAGCTCCTGTGGTTTTCCTTTCCTCCGCGAGTCTTGGAATAGATTCGGTGTGTATTTTAAATTGTTTCCAAAGTTTCCTTAAATTTAGACGTTATTAATGGAGACAGGTCACTTTTCCAATACTTTGATACTGAGAACGGTGTCCTTTGTTATTTATTTATTATAATTCGGCAGATTATTTTCATTTGTAGTAGAAATACTACAGAATTGTTTATCCATTCGAAATTCTGCTCCTTATTTAGGAAAAACGGCAAATTTGCACGGGTTGTGTATCGTAGCATTAATTATGTAACGTGCAATTCGCAATATTTTGACATTAAAATATTTGTGGATTCAACCGTTCTATCTCCATTCCTCTGAAAATTTGCCTCAATGTAGTCCAATATATGGTGAATAATTTGTATGAAAACAATTTTGAAATATCTACCTGTTCTTGGGAAAATTGAAGTTGAATTTGAAATTAAAAATCGTAGCATTAAATAAGTTACATACTGTAACTTCATTAAATAAACGACCCAGAAATCCCGTTTCGCATATTTATAAATCATGTCAAGTTATTTACCAGTTTCTCCAAAAACAATCACATTTTTTTCTTTGTAGTCTTCACTCATTTTCGTTAATATGTCTTCAATTTTTTTCTGTTTCAAATTACATAATCAATTTATGGTGCCAGAATTACTGGAATTACATTTTGACAACCCATTCTCAAGTTAACATTGGATAATGTAAATTTAACCTCAAATCCGGTTGATTTGCAGACGAATTTTTCCACAAGCGCAGCTGGTTTAACGTTTGCCAGATATGGTGGTGGAACGTCTTTTGGCGCAAAAATTATTGCTATGATTACCGCGGCTATGACAAAAACTAAAACTAAAGAACAAAACTAATAAGTTTCTAGTGCAAATAATTTTTGCGAAATTAAAACTCTGTTTTTTAAATTATAGGTGGTTACCAGTTAGTAATGAAATTAAATTGGCAATGACTTTGCACATGGTGTTATGAAGTAATTCGTGTTATTTATGTATGAAAACGTGGCGAGAGAAATAAGGCAATATTGTAATGATTCATTTGAATAAGTAATACTGTGCTCCACGTGGTTAATTGAATCTGAATATGCATACGTTGGCCAAGTCTGGTTATCTTGAATGAAAAAGATTGCACCAGACAAATAAGCATTGTGTAGAAAATGAGTCGTAAAAGTGTATACATTTATATTTGGTCGATCCGTATGCGATCCGTCAAAGGATTTATCTACATATCTAAATAAGTACCTATGCTCGGTAAGCCGACTTATCTGGGTGATTCAATTTACAGTAAATGGGAATGAGTTGGGCAGGTTTTTGAAGAACAACAATGGTCCCAATTTCTACTCAAAAACCAGAGCTGAGAGATTAGTTGATTTTTTGCTCGGATTACGGATTGGGGATTAGTCACCAAAACTTTCGGATTAGATTGGGGATTAGATCATGGGCAACTCGAACAACTGATCTTATGCAAATAACCAATCCCGAACGAAATTTGTATCTATATTGAAAGACTGGGTCGTTATCATAATTAAACTCGGCTTCATCTACAATTTTGTGGCGTGCAATTTTCAACTTTTTGACATTTAAATATCTATAATTTCATCAGTTTTACACCAATTCATTTAAAATCTTGCACGATTGTAGCATGAAATATTGTTGATAATTGGTGTAAAAATCAATTTGAAATATTAACCCATTATTAAGAATTTGTGATTTATTTATATCATACATGCATGCACTGCATCCACAATTAAATGGGATACTGTATACAAAACATGTATGATAAATACTAAAAATTAATACTGATCCCTAGGACCAACTGGATCATTGGAAAATACTAATCTTCAAGTATATACTGATTATCATTGATGTAATCATAAGTCAGGTTTACGTACACAAATATGTACATATTTGATGCCTATTTTCCCCGTCTCATCTTACCCTTGGACTTCTTATTTTTAAAGTGTCTGCACAACTTGGCAAATCTTACACGGACTGAAATTCTAACCAACGTGACAAGATACCTTACCCTGTCTCGCACCGCTTGATCTGACATAAGTTCAGCTATAAGTATAACCCAAAGCAGAACTATTGTTATTCCCACAATATTGAAGAAAGGTGACAACGTGTTCGTCGTAATGTACGAGGACGCCACCTTTAACGTTGACCAGTTGCTAGCTTTCAACATAATTAACTGATTTATTTGCCGCTGCCACAGTTTTTGGAATCCTCCCATCTCAAGAGCCTTGACACTCCGTCCAATCTCATCTCTCAGTATATTGTTCGCAACGCTGAACCTGCCATCGTTTAATGCAATCTCATAAATCACAAAACACTCATACCGTCCGTTCAAAAGCTTGTTTTGTATGTAAAGTAGAGGCTTTAGTGAATAGGCTTTATTGTAGGTTAGGATGACATTTCTTGGACTTCGTTTCGTAACATAGGCAGTCAGATTGTTCCAGTTGTGTCTAGTAAATAAATCAAGCTTATATATTACAAATAACATTTTGTTATTTACTAGCTAAGGAGCTAAATAAGCACTAAATTAGGTTAGCAACTACATATCTAGGAGGCTAGGCTTATGAGACCCCCGTGTTTAAATTTGGCAACACGCTACAATAAGCTCCACATAGTGATAAATTTGAATTGAGACCTCTCAATAAATTGCATAAAGCGTGAAATGCCAAAATATGTGTAGTGCAATGACATAAGATCACCAGTAATATAGGGTTCCAATTAACGCACCCTAGAAAATACTGAAAAGTACCCAGGAAAATGGTTAAAACCCATAATATTGAACTTCACCCAAACAAATTCATTTATGACCCCAATATAAAACCTAAAATGCCCAATAATATCTTATACAATGTTTGTGTCCAATTTTCTTACAAATTTATGTATATAAGGGGAGACCCATAAATTATTATAAGGACTTAATTGGTATCGCGATTATGAACAAACTATACGAAGTCTGCCCAGAAGCCAAGACGATTCCAATAGGGACTCGACGTGGGCCTGGACGCCCTACCAATGCTACGGAGGCATTGATTACTATGTAATTCGAATTTATTTTTGAATAATGTGGAGGAATAAATGGCTAATTCATGTTTAATACCAAAGTCGTTATTACTTTTATGTGTCACGATATTATTGGGCATTTTTGGTTTTATATTGGGTGCATAAAATAATTTGGCTGGGCAACATTCAGTATTATTGATTTTAAATACTTTACTGGGTACTTTTCAGTATTTTCCTGGGTGCGTTAATAATAATCCAGTAATATATTAGTTCGTACCCAATAACAATGGTTTTATCCTGAGGGAAGGTTCCAAATTTTTGCCGCTCATATTCATTCTGTATTTTGGTCCGGGTTGAAGTTGTTTGATTGGCCTCCTCCGACGAGTAAACGAGAGTATAATCATTAGCAAAAAACTCGCTCAAAGTACGACATTTCTCATATGGCGGTGGAATAACTAGATTTGCTGTTAAGAATAATTCATATTGGGCCAGTAGCATAAAACTTGTGTAAAGCAAGGACACAAAGATCCACATTGAGAGATATTTAGTACTTGAAGATTGTCTGACAAACATCGCGCAAATTACGAACACTACCTCTTTCACATTTTTAATTAAATTAAAATTTTTCTCACGTTTACATAAACCCATTAAAACCCTTAGGATAACCAGGATCACCAGGACTCCGGCGCAACCGAGCCACACTTCTGGATCAAAAGGTGACACCCACGCGGACAATTCAGAGTTTTCAGACCACACATTAAAGTTACAGTATATCGCGAAATGCCCCTCATACCGGAACGAATGCAGCGTATTTATATCATCATAATAGTAGATACCGTACTGTAGACCTTGGTTAAAATAGCCCCACTTATGTGTATGCCACCCTGAACGTGGAGGTAGAACGAACGTAATGTTCAAAATATTACCCATCGTTAAATATTTTCTTTCTTCAATGGAACAGGTTTTCCTGAGGAGTGCAATATAGTACTCCCCTTTCCCGCAAATTCCACCTGGCTTAAATTGGTATCGAATCGTTGCAGCGATGGAAATATCGTTTCTAAATTGGTGCACATGGAATGTTTCTACTGTTATTTTCTTTATGTCCGGAGTATAGCTTACCGGAACAAAATTATCTTTACAAAAGACACAGAAGAAAAACCATTCAATATCTGAGTGAAGAATTGAGTTGGATAGATGGAGATTTGTTTTGATTTCGACATAAAAGATTCTGAACGGCACAAGAAATTCTGGTCCGTAACTTAAGTGCAATGTACGGGACGAAATCTGTTCACATATTAAGATGAAGACGGAATGTAACCTACTTCTATGGGTGTCCCGTCTCCGGTATGAATAATCTGTGCCGAATGCATTATTTTCGATGTCAAACTTTACAAAAATTGTGATGGTGCAAACCTCATTGAATTTAAAGTCCTGTACCATTTTCTCGATCTCGGTCACATAATCGGAAAGTTTTGGTCGGCTACTGATCGTGTAGATTAGATTGATAGGACCGTTTGCATGGATTAGATTCTCTGCTAGGTCGATATACTCAAAGGAATCGCTCAATGTTAAGAATTTGATTACACAGTTGCCAAAATGTTCAAAGTTTATGGGCGGGAGGTTTTTCATGCCGAGCACTGATAACAAAGCGGAAAGCAGGATGAGACAATGGTTAATAAACATTTTAACCTTCCGTTAAAATACTCAAAATTATCTGAAGATAAAGTTATTTTTCTTCAAGAATTAATTTCAGTTGTACATATGGTCCAATTGTTTCGTGCTTTGAATTCCAAGGAAATATATAGCATTCCTGCTGTTTTTATTAGTATTTGCGACCTACTGGAACTGTGATTCTGTATTGATAAAAATCACGAAATATTTCCACTTTTATGCTTTGAAAACATTTAGCATTGAATGAATTAGTTTTAGAACGATTGTATAAGTATTAAGTTTATAGGTTCTAATTTTTAGTACATATATTTGAAGAGAAAGGGTTCTTATCCTTGGCTGGCTCAATGCTAGATATATTTTTCTACTGGATTCACCTTCCAATTTGCGTCGTACGATGGTTGCTTAGCTAGTTTTATCGATTTGGGCTTAAGTATGTCCTAATTACTTCGCATAATTACAGAGCGTCGCTTTTTTATCTGATAAAGAATTTGACCTTGAATAACTCAGGAACGGTTTGTCGTAGCGGGTCAAAATTTTGAACAGAGGATCATGTTATCCTCAGATAGATGTGTGAAAAATTTCAACTCTCTACTTTCAAAAATGCCTCCCCAACAGCTCCCAGAAGGTGAGGCAGTCATAAAAACTCGTTGCAAACTTAAGGACTTGGTTCAGAATCCCCCGTGGTAACACTAGGTCATTTTTGTGTAACTTTGTCCCAGGTTTGCATAGGATGAGTTATATGTAAAATTTTTGACTCTGGTTTATTAACTGCTAAAACTATTCGGAAAATTTATAAAGAAAAGTTATTGACCCCAAACCACACCCGTCTCGTGTAATCTTGGTTTTCCCAGGGAGTGTTCATTTTTGTTAAGATCAACGTTTGTGAAAAAACTAGCGAGCAAAATTAGTTTCAGTTTTTGCCAGAAGCTGGATAAATATGTTGTTTAGTGCACCAACTATTTTAGATAATTTATGAAAGTCCACGGGGTTATTTAACATACAAAATCTAAGGCAAAACCAGTGTCGCCAATAAACAAAGCGCTATATACCCCTTCTATCAAATTCACAAATTATCAAAATGATCTCCTCGTCTAGATTGAGGTCTTGGCTTCATTTAAAAATTAAAATATTCCACATACATACATAAGGTTAGTCAGGACTCTTGATCTAAATTCAAAAATCCACTACAGATTATATGTTGCTATGTTGTGCACCTCCAGAAACATGTGCGGTTTGGGGCTAATAGCTTCATGTTATAAATTTATTGAATAGTTTTGCTAGGGAACGTCCATAAATCACGTGATCGACCAAAGGGGGGGAAGGGGTCTGAAATTTGTCACCAATTATCACCATGGGGGGGGGGGGGGGT